ACAGTGGCTGCAACAATGGGTTCAAGCATAATGACCATCGTGAGAATGGCACAGCACCGGGCAGTGTTTTGTTCTGTTGTACATGGGGTCGCTGTGAGTCGGAACCGACTCAACGGCACCTAACAACAATGACCCTGGTGGGATGGTGCTTCCATCTCTTTAGTTGGGAATGTTCTCCAAGGAGCCTGGGGGTGTGTGTGTGTGTGTGTGTGTGCGCGCGCGCGTGCGCGCTGTGTGTGCTGTGTGCGCTGTGTGTGCTGTGTGCCAGGCCCAGAGAGGTGAAGTTACCTCTAAGGTAAGAGTTGGGATTCAGACCCAGGTTTTTTTGGCTGCAAAATGGTTACTTCTTTCACCACTCTGTGCTGTATCCTTTCCAAAGACTATCCTAACATTTCTCCAAATTTCCTCTCCGGAACAGTTAATTATTTGTGACTATGTGGGCAGATGAGCTCTTTCCATCATAATATCAGAAAAGACAGGAAGAGGAGCTGTCTTACAGTTGGAGAATACTCCCTTTCCAACTGCAGAGATCCGTAGGCAGGGACTGATCCGTTTCTGTCTGTCCCCTTGTAGCTTAACTGCAGTGCTTTCCCACTTTATTAGTTTCCACATTCCATGCCAAGAGCTTTAGAAGTCAGGTAGGGGAGAATTCTCTGCTGACCTATCAGCCTGCCATCACCCCCAGAATCTGTTGCTTGCCATTTCAGAAAGGGATCAACACTGAAGGAGTTTTTTCTCAGTAGTGAAATTTACATATACAACCTTGCTGACTGCAGCAGAAATGAAGGGGGTGGGGGGGAGTCCAGGGTGGGGGCTGAGCCTTTGTTGGGGGTGGGGGAGGGAGAGGAAGAGGGAAAAGCTTATTTTACCACTCAAGAATAAGAACATCGTGAGTAATGAATAAAGTCCGAAAGCAGTAAATCTGGGACTCCGGAGTTAGGCGTGTAACGTTTTGGAGAACAATTTAAGCCTTCGCCTCTTCTGTGGAGGTGAGGCATTTGGGCTGCTTTTCACAGCCCGAATTTCATTAAATGGCCTTTTAAGGGTTAGGATTACAAGAAGCCCAGTCCAGCTGGTTCATAACGATGATTTATGGCTGTGTTGTCGACTCCCTGACCCTTCTGTACAAGGGGATAGAGAAAATACATAATTTGTTGCTCATTAACTCCCAGATCTGTCAGGGCTGCCCCAGAAGCCATGTGGGCTTGGAGTCATGTATCTGCTAAATGGCTTTAGCCTGGCCCTGTCCTGGAAAATATGCAACTGTTATTTTGCAGTGGAAACTGTTTTTAATAACAACAGAAATAATAAGTTCTGAACTTGAGAGTTAGAATACCTGGGTTCTACTCTTAACTCAGTCTTGGAGGAAGTACAACCAGAATGCTCCTTAGAAGCGAGGATGGCGAGACTTCATCTTGCTTACTTTGGACACATCATCAGGAAAGACCAATCGCTAGAAAAGGACATCATGTTTGGTAGAGGGCCAGCGAAAACGAGGGAGACCCTCCATGAGATGGATTGACACAATAGCTGCAACAATGGGCCCAAACATACCAGTGACCTTGAAGATGATGCAGGACCAAGCAGTGTTTCGTTCTGCTGTACATGAGCACTTGATGGCAGCTAACAACACTTTTAACTCTCACTAGCCTCAGAACCTTCAGATGAGTCACTTTATCTGCCTGAATTTTAGTTTCCCCATCTGTAGAGTGAGTTTATCTACTTCACAGAATTAGAGGTTAAATGAGACTGTCATGTGCACAAAGAAAGGCAGGAGATTGCTGCCAGTATGACCACTGTTGTTAGCAATTGAGGTGCCGTAAAATGTTCTCCCCTTTATCTTATTTTCCCATGAGAGGAGGAAGCACTTTCATTACCAGTTTACAGTTTGCAAAACTGTGGCACTTAAAACTGACATTTTAGAGTGGTGCAGTATTAGAGCTGAAAAGAGTCCTTGAGTTGTAATCCAGCTCCTCTCTAAAATGAGCAAACCGAAGCAGAGAGGTGACTCACCAGAGATTTGCCAGGAAATTCAGGTAAGATATGCAAAGTTCATGCTAGATGTCCAAGTGCTGTTTCTTAGCATCAAACAGGAATTCATATCGATTGATGGTCAAGCGCAACTTCCATAGAAACAGTTTCTTAATCTGAGGCAGTGGTATGGTTCAGGGAACTCAGGAGTGTTGCAAGGACAAGGGTCCTTGGTTCCACTCCTTGTCTGCGGTGTCATTTCAGAGGAAGTAATTTTCCTCTGCTTTTGCTTATGACCTTTGCCTCATTGAGAGGAGAATGGTGGCGCTAGCACAGAGAGTTGAGAATAAATGTCATTGTAGTTATGAAATCACGGAGTCTAGCGCCCTTACTTTGCAAACGGGGAGACTCAATTATCCGCATTTCACGCAGTGAGTAGTGCCCAAGTGGGGCCACGAACCCCAGCTACTTGGCTTCTACTTGAGTGTTCTTCCCCCTGCATATATCGCCACGTAAGCGTGATTTATAAATAAAGAAGAATAAGATATCATGGTAATAAGCATCTGGAACTCATTAGCCTGCAAGGTTACATAGGGTAAAAGTATAAACAGGTTCAAAAGGAGAATTAGATCATGAATGGTAGGAAAGAATGCTTGGTGGGAAGTCAGAACACCTGGGTCTAATCTTTAGATCTGAGTTAATTTGGACTTCAGTTTCTTCGAGATATAATGGCCCCTTTCATTTCTGACTTGCTATGCTTGTCCAATTTTAATCTCTGCAATGTGTTATCAAAGGGCTCTTAGTAATATTTAGGGGATATTTCCAATTTTACAGTAAGGCAGCTCTGAGGACTATCCTGCTCCCTTTCTTCAAAGTCTAGCTCAAGTTCATTTGTTCATTCATCTGGTAGTCTCAGCACCTAGTCTGGGTCAGGTGTTAGTACTGCTCTCCCAGGGAATAGCTAAGCCAGAATGCTGGGCTGGACTGGACTTTGGCCATCCCTTTCTAATAAAGAATCACACTCAATAGGATCTGGGAAAACAATTTGTAGCATTTACAAATAGAGAACATTTGTAAACATAATTGTTGTTAGGTGCCATTGAGTCAATTCTGACTCTTAGTGACCCCATGTGACAGAGTAGAACTGTCTCATAGGGTTTTCTGGTTTGTAAAGCTTACGGGAGCAGATTGCCGGGTCTTCCTCTCGTGCAGCCACTGGGTGGGTTTGAACCACCAAACTTAGTTAGCAGCCGAGTGCCGCCAGGGCTCCTTGCTTATAAACACAGACTCCCTATATAAACATTAGCACGAGTAGCAGCTATTATCACCACTGTACCTGCTTGTCCCTGGGTTCAGCTGGCATTTTCCTCTTACATGACCGTCCTACCCTTAGACTTTGGAGCCCAGAGGACCTGGACCAGACCCATGTCTTGATGCATTACCCCACTGTAAAAGAATTAACAGGAGCCTTTGAATAAGAGTATCCGGATATGTCTGTCTATTGCTTCCCTTGTGGCTGTGAACATGCTCTCTGCTCCCTGAAAGGGCAAGTGTGGCTCATCATCCTGCCCTGTGAGGAAGTGTGAAAGGGACCTTGTGGTGTCGAAGAGTGGAACATCACTGTTCCTGGGCTGTGGTTGAAACCAGGAAGTGGCCAGGGCTGCACTGTGGAGTTAAGATAAGAGCAGCAGGCTTTGTGGTGTTAATCTCCCTTTGGGATGTGCATCACCAAGACAGAATTGGTTTTCTGCCATTAGACGTCATAGGCTTTTAACTTACAGAGAATCATCCAGCTCTGAGTCCCCAAAGCAGGCAGTTTCAGGCAAGGTACTTTCCCTTTCTGAGCCTCTGTGGTATCTATCTCATGACTGTTGTGAGGATTTCATGAAATAATACATATAAAAGCAATGCCTGGTATACAGTAGATAATCAATACTTGGTGGCTTTTTTTAGAAGTCATCGATATCCCCTAAGTATCAAGTAGTAGACACAGTGCAGTGGAGGAAGAATTCGAAAATTAAGACTCACTCAGTGTCCTCCAGAGCCCTGGTGGCACAGTGGTTAAGAGCTGTGGTGAGCTCTGGCTGCTAACCAAAAGGTCAGCAGTTCGAATCCACCAGCCACTCCTTGGAAATCCTATGGGGCAGTTCTCCTCTGTCCTATAGGGTGGCTGTAAGTCGGAATCGACTCGACGACAGTGGGGTTTTTCACCGTCCTCCAGGATCTGAGGAGACGACAGAGGCAGACCCGAGGGAATTCGAGAGCATTGAAGGGCATTGTACTAAAAGTTCCTTAGACTAGTGTACTTTTCATTGCACCATACTTCTACATCTAAAGAATAAAATAAAAGGATCACTTTCTATGACCCAGATAATTTCCCATCCGTATTATCACATGCAAGCCGACCACTCTGTAAAGGCGAATAAACTAGAGCTCGGAAAGTTCATTGCTGAAGGACACCAGGTAGGTGGCAGAGGCCGGATTCAAACTTAGAAGTTGACCTTGAGGCATTCACCATTTTATATTGAAATACCCCCTGTGACTCAGTGTTGGCACAAAGACTGAGAGCCTTATTAGTGTCAGATCATTGTTGGTGATTCTTTACTCCAAATCCCGGAATCCTGAGATTTGCTCAGATCCCCAGACATCCCTGAATTCCCTTAAAAATATCCTTGATTCTTTGTCTAAATTTTATTCCCATAGGTAAGTCTTTATTTGCCTGTCTCTTTAAAAAACAATTACACATAAATATATTTTATTGTATTTTTTGTTGTTGTTGCAAAAATATTACGTGGTCATTACAGGACTTAAAAAAAAAGAAGAAGAAGAAAGGAATGACCAGATCAGCACTTTGATCTTTCCTCCTGCGCATATTTGTGTCTGTGTACCTTCTAAGTAGAAAATTGGGATTTTATAAATTATAACTTGAATTATATACGGAACATTCTTCTGTTATTAAATATCTTGACAGTAGCAATTTAGATGATGGACCTTGATTTTGCCTAATTTCTCTGTTGGTTTCCTTTCAGATCATCACAGGGGAATTCTACCGAATCTATTACCTGAAGGAGAAGTCTCGGTCAACGGTTCAGAATCCCTACGTGGCAGCACTCTATAAGCAAGTGGGTTGCTTCGTCTTTGGCTGTGCCATCAGCCAGTCTTTCACAGACATTGCCAAAGTATCCATAGGGCGCCTGCGTCCTCACTTCTTGAGTGTCTGCAACCCAGATTTCAGCCAGATCAACTGCTCCCAGGGCTACATTCAAAACTACAGATGCAGAGGAGATGACAGCAAAATCCAGGAAGCTAGGTGAGACACCACCTCTCCATGGCCAGAGAGTGCAACCCTTTGATGCTCGGCAGTTCAGTGAACACTAAGCACCTACTAGGTGCCAGGCCTAGTACTGGGCTCTGGTTTACACAGGCGAACAAGGTATAATCCCTGTTCTTGGGGAGTTCATCGTCAAATGGTCACATGATTGCATAAATAAGCAATTGTGATGCATACATTCATTCTTTTGTTTCTTCATGCATTGATGGGTGACTGCTGTGTTCCAGGCAACGTGTCCAAAGCACTACCAAGGATATACAAATGAACAAGACACATTGCCCACTCTCATGATCACAATCTAGGGAAGGAAGACAGACAGACATGTATCAGATTGAGAATATGACCATTTCATGGCCCTCTCTTGCTCTTGCAGGAAGTCCTTTTTCTCCGGTCACGCCTCCTTCTCCATGTACACCATGCTGTATTTGGTGGTAAGTACCTTCCCTTTGATGGGAACAGAGTGCAGCTCCAGACTGAATCTCTTCTGTACATACAGGTCTCGGAATGATTAGGGACTGACTTTTCTGTGAAATCCCTAAACTGGAGGTGAGTTAGAAAATTTAGGTCCCATTCTGAGCTCTGTCACCGCCTTAGCAGAAGTTGTTGCACTTTCCAGGCTTTCTTCATTTTTCAAATAAAAATAATATTTGCCGTGGCTGCTTAATAAGGATTGCACACCTATTTTGAAATTATAAAGTGATAAAAACATTTGTGTATATTTTTATGATAAGAACTACTGTTTTATGAAAACCCATTAACTCATTTGATCCTTACAATAACCTGATGTTGTAAGTAATGTTATTACCTCTATTTTATGGGAAAAGATGACTAAAAAAGGCTCAGAATTCAAGTGAACTGTCAGATTTTATATAAACACAAGAACTGTCAACTCAAATCCAAGCCTTGTGATCAAATTCCTTGCAACATTCACCACGTCAGTCCTCCTACATATTCTGCTGATAGCAAAAAAAAAACCAAACCTGTTGTTGTCAAGTTGATTCTAACTCATGGTGACCCCATGTGTTACAGAGTAGAACTGCTCTGTAGGATTTTCTTGGCTGTAATTTTTGTGGAGGAGCCCCGGTGACACAGTGGTTGAAGCGCTCGGCTGCTAACCGAAATGTTGGCGGTTTGAACCTACCAGTGGCTCTGTGGGGGAAAGATGTGGCAGTCTTCTTCCATAAAGATTTACAGCTTTGGAAACCCTATGGGGCAGTTCTACGCTGCCCTATAGGGTCGCTATGAGTCGGAATCACCTCGACAGCAATAGATTTGGTTTTGGTGTAATCTTTATGGAAGAAGATCGCTGTACAGAAGGGCTCTGAAAATCATCATTATCTGATTGCATATAGTGATTTTGAGTTGTAAAAAAATACTCCTGCATCCATGAGCCTGTATGACCTCATAACAACACTGTGAAGCATGAAATCCTTATTATCCCCACATCTCGGATCCAGACACCAAAGCCCAGAGAAGTTAAGTAGTATGTTTGAGGTCCTTCAGTTAGTGGCAGAACCATGATTTGAATTCACACTTGTCTGACTTCAAGCTGCTGGCCTCCCTATTCCTGCATCTGCTCTGATGTCCTGGACGCTCAACCAGTGCAGGTGAAGTGTCCTGCTCCGTGATCCAGCTGCTGCACAGACAGTGGGCTGGCCTGTTTTTCTTTGTCAGTTAAATATGGTCTCCCTAGCCTTTTCCCTCCCCTTGAATGAGGTCCATGTGCCAAGGCACTTCCTGCTTTTGGCTGCTTTGATGGAGTTGGGAGCAAGAAGGTGCTAGGAGGTCAGATGTTGCTCAGAGGAGCGTAAGCTGTTTGGAAAAAGAACGTTTGATTTCAGCTTATTTAAAAAACATAATTAGGAATTGGAAAAGAAACAGCAGAGAGGTTTTGTTTTCTCCCCCCAGTCCTTTCCAAGTAGAGGCCTCTGGGCTTCCCGTTACCTAGGTTGCAGAGCTCAAAGGCGGGCCCCAATTTATGAAGCCATTTAGTGTGGATTTTATTTACTCATGAATAGCACTTCCCTTCCTTCTCTTTTTGTTTCTGTGTTTTGCTTTTAGGAAGGATCATTTAGCAAAGATATTTAGGTTCCTGCTCCATTTTTTACCCACGTCTGGGAGCAATTTTACAAACGTAATTTCAGTGTTTTGTAAAGGTGCTTAGCGGAGTCATGAGTGTATTTCTTTCATGTCCCTTCATTTTCTTCCAAGAGAAAAACGCTGGATAATTTTGAAACCTACACTGTGCACTCTGTCCCCCACAGCTGTCTCCCAAGTGAAGGCACTGACATCTTTTGGGGTGCCTCCTGTGTGCCAGACCCTGGGCTGAGGTTACCCTGTAACGTTTGATTCTCTCAATAACCTAATGAGATACACGTTGATTACCGTGTTTTTAGGTTAAAAAACAAAAACTCTGAATCTAATAAAAGTTCTACGGACAGTAAGAGGCAGAAAAGGTATTTGAGGGCTGGTCTTTATGAATCTAGAGTCGCTATATGTTCTTTTCATGGAACTCCACTTGTCAAAAAAAAAAAAACCAAAACCAAAATAAAAATCCTTTTCAAGATATACTTAAGGAAGTCAGAAATGGCTAATGGTGATGGTTGCACTACCTGATAAATATAGTTCATGTCACTAAATTGTAACGTGAAGAATGTTGAAATGGCAAACGTTTTGTTAGATACAAATTTACCACAATTAAAAAAAAAAAAAAAGATAAACTTAAGGATATACTGCCTGACTTAGTCATCTAGTGCTGCTCTAACAGAAATACCACAAGTGGATGGCTTTCACAAAGAGAAATTTATTTTCTCACAGTCTAGCAGGCTAGAAGTCCGAATTCAGGGCGTTAGCTCCAGGGGAAGGCTTTCTCTCTCTGTCAGCTTTGGAGGAAGGGCCTCGTCATCATCAGTCTTCCCCTGGACTAGGAGCTTCTCTGCGCAGGAACCTCGGGTCCAAAGGACACGCTCTGTTTCTGGTGATTCTTTCTTGGTAGTATGAGGTCCCCAACTCTCTGCTTGCTTCCCTTTCCTTTTATCTCTTGAGAGATAAAAGGTGGTGCAGGCCACACCCCAGGGAAACTCCCTTTACATTGGATCAAGGATGTGACCTGGGTAAGGGTGGTGTTACAATCCCA